TTTTGGCTGTTACAAACAACCGTTATGTGAACAAAATTAATATACCCTTGTACACAAGTGCGCTAGGGTATAAAAAACAAGTTTCATTAATTAAAAAAAAGATGTTTTATTTAAAACTTTAAAAGAAACTTGTATTCGTTTTATTTGTTACACAAATAAACAAACCGCATATGCAACGGAACTTCGGGTATTGTGGTATAGGTATTTTTAGATATGTAGCAAATGTACGAGCTTTATTGTAACTATTATTTATTATACGAAAACAGTGAAACTTAAGTTATAAAATATTTTTCAATTAAATACTACTTTTATTCAAAAATAACAAAGTTATTGAGAAAAATTTAAAAGAAACCAAAAAATACCTACTTCAAAAATTTTAGGGTAATCTTACTATATCTTACTAATATTATAAATGTGAAAGTTTGTATGTTTGGATGTTTGGGAAATCATCACGCGGAAACGATTGAACGGATTTGCTTTAAATTTTGTACGCAGATAGCTTATGGGCCAGATTGGTTAATAGGCTATTTTTTAAGGGTTGCCACCTGTTAAGAAAGTTTAATTTATTTAATATGCGGGAACGACTGAACGGATTCGCATGAAAGTTTGCACACAGATAGCTTATGACCTAGATTGGAAAATAGGCTACTTTTCTTAAGAGTTGCCACCTGTTAAAAAAGTTTAAGTTAATTAATACGCGGAAACGACTTAACGGATTTGCATGAAATGTTGCACACGGATAGCTTATGGCCTATTTTGGAAAATAGGCTAATTTTTTTTAAGAGTTGCCATTTGTTAGAAATGTTTAATTTAATTAATACGCGGAAATGAGTGAACTGATTTGCATGGAAGTTTTCACACAGAATGCTTCTGAGCTAGGTTGGAAAATAGGATACTTTGTTTAAGGGTTTCCTCCGGCTAAAAAAGTTTAATTAAATCAATACGCGAAAACGTCTGTACGGATTTGCATGAAATTTTGCAAGCAGATAGCTTATGACCTACAGTGGAAAAGAGGCTATTTTTTGGAAGAGTTGCCACCTGTTAAAAAGTTTAATTTAATTAATACGCGGAAACGACTGAACAGATTTGCATGAATTTTGGTACAGAGATAGCTTATGACCTACGCTGGAAAATAGGCTATTATTTAGGAGTTGCCACCTATTTGATAAGTAAAATTAAATTAATACGTGGAAATGACTGAACTAATTTGCATGAAAGTTTGCACACAGATAGCTTATGACCTAGATTGGAAAATAGGCTACTTTTTTTAAAGATTTCCACCTGTTTGAAAATGAAATTTTGCTCACAGATGGTTTATGACCTGGATTGAAAAAGAGGTTACTTCCTTAACCGGTTTCCCGATCAGAACGAAATTTCGTACACTTACTACGGATTTCGCAAGGATGGTCTTTGACTGAAAGTAATTCCGATAACTCAAGGACCCTCCCATACAAATTGGAATTTTCATATTACATACATATCTCTGAAAGTATTTGTGGGAGAGAACTGGAACTTGGTATAGAGATATGTATGTGAAATCAATGTTGGCATTAATATATTGATGTTTTAATTAGTTAGTTCACTCGACTAAATTCAATCTGATTACAGTTAATCATGATTAATTTTAATCCGACTAAACAGTTAATCGTAACCGCAATTAAAAAAATTAATTTTTAATCATTAACCCTTAATTTGATCAAGTAGGTTTGGTGATTAATTAATTTATGCTGGAATTTTCCTGTGCACACACAGCAAGTTAAGCCGGTATGTCTAAGTGGGTTTCCTCATCAATCTGAGCAATTTGATGTGCATTTTCATTAAGATCTATACCAACAAACGTTTTACAAACTAGGTTTGTAAAAGTTTCTTGTGTATGTATTGCTAATAACAATAATTATAGATAATTTGTTTATATTATAAGCGTAAGACACAAAACAATTAATATAACTGGTGTTTGGTTTCAAAATTCGGACAAACTAGACAACTTAATCAGATATTGCGTTCATTGGATTACCGATTAATGATTAAAACTAATTAATCGTAGTCGCAGCCAGCGATTAGCGATCAAAAAAATTTAATCATTAATCGTACAGTTGATTACGACTAATTAATTTTAATCGTCAAACGCAATTAACATTTAATCGTTAATTTTTAATCTTTAATCAGATTAACATTTTGCCAACACTTTGTGAAATCGTATTCATACTCACGGAGAAAAATGGACGTTTTTGGAAAAGAGGCGTAGCACCTCCCACACTGATTGAAAGTTTCATATTGCATATCTCTTCAAATGTTTAGGGTAAAGTACTCAAGCTTGGTATGGAAATACATATGAATGTATGTATGTGAAACTAATACCATACGCATGAAGAAAAATTGGAGTTATTGGAAAAGGTGGTGTGGCAACTCCCATACAAATTGATTTTTCTATGCTGCATATCTCTGGAGGTATTTATTGTAGAGGACTGGAACTTGGCACCGAGATGTGTATACAAAATTAATGGAGAAAAATTTGCGTTTTTCGAAAAGGGGGCATGGTACATCCCGTACAAATTTACTGTTTTATATTGCATATCTCTAGAGGTGTTCATGGTAGAGTACTGGGACTTGGTACTGGGGTATGTTAAATCAATTCTAAATTCATGGACGAAGATTAGGGTTATAAGAAAAAGGGACGTGGCACTTCCTGTACAAATTGACTTTTTCTTGCCACATATCCCTGGAAGTGTTTGTGGAAGAATACTGGAACTTGGTATGGAGTTGTGTATACAAAATGTAGCAATTGCTCATGGAAAAAATGTGAACTAATAAAAAAGGAGGCATGTCGCCTCCCATACATACTAAAAATTTCTTAATACATATCTCTGGGAGGATAGAAAATCTCTGGAAGTATTTTAAATTTGTTATCGAGATTTATTTTATGAGTGCCGTACTGACAGAAAAATTTCATTTAATGGAAAAGGGAGAGCCTGGTTCGGAATTATAATGTAAAGCTATCATGATGCATACATACCTCTTGAGGCATTTGCTACAGTAATGAGGAGTGGTATTTTATCAAGGCCAGGTTACTAAATTTGAGTTGGAAATATTAGAACCCGCCGTGGCACCTCCAAGAAGGTTACACGTTCACGCGTCATATCCCTGGAACCATTTTAAGGTAAGCTTAGAGGGATTGATAGCTTTCGTATGCCTAGCGCGCAGACGAGATTTTATAATTTCTAGTTTTAAACGGCCTAAATACCTTAACTCGCTTAAAAAATAACGAGCTATAACAAAATGGGCACAGAAATAAAATATAGCATCATTAAATTATTTTTCATATCTGTATAAAAACGTGGGGTGAAACCCGCGGGTATAAGCTAGTATATATATATATATTTTTTAAGTCGGTTTTTTTTTTTGCTTAAAATTACTTGGGTAATAATTGGTTTAACTTAAAAAAAGACTAATTAAATTTTTTTAAAGTAGAACGTCTCTTCGAAAAAGCAAAATCTTGTTGAAAATCTACAGCCCAAACCCTTTAATTTAATACCTCACTTTTTAAACTCGAATGAATGGCATATATTACTAAATAATTTGAGTCTAATTGTTTAATAGGTGGCAGCTCTTCTCGAAAAAGTAAAACCTTATTGCAAATCTAAGGCCCAAAGCCTTTCATTTAACACCTCTTTCCCTCAAAATGGTGTTTCTATCATCCAATTTGATGAAGTATTATGGAAGATATGGCGCTTTATTGACCAGATACAGTTCTTTGAGATTTTTAAAACCCCCGTTTTTTAATTAATAGCTAAATTTTAACAACGTGACTATTTTTCGCATGTACGTGAGCTTCCCCCCTTCAAAATGAGAAATTTGACAAAATATTAAAGGAGTTATCGTTTGGTAACATAAAAATACCATTTAGAAATAAGTATGAAGATGGATAGTAATGACCCCCCAGCCAACCCCGTACAACGGGCCTCATTCTAATATGTAGTATAAACGATTGTAATCTTTTCCGTTCCAAGCGCAACATTGACGACATAAGTCGAATGAATTAAATACATAAAGAACATTTTGTTTATTCAAGTGTGAGCTATGCATAGTAAATATTTGGTACCCATACTTTATTGTTCCACTTACTATGGTACATTAGGGCGGTCCAAAAAACAATAAAGCCGGAATTTTAATGCTCTCACCCCCTAGGATTGTTCTATATTGAAAAAAGTATACCCTCATTTTTTTATATAGAAATGAAAAAGTATTTCGAGGTCGCTCAAAGCGCTTAAAGTGTTCCATGTATTTTTATATGGGAAAAATAAAATTTTTCGCAGAATCGGAAAACTCTGGTTGTCTTCAGGATACTTTCAATAATAATACGGAATTGCCTATTTACCCATTTTTTAATATAACGATTTTTTATTGGTCGTCCCATTGCATTTTTCGGGGTTTTTGTGGGTTTTTGACGGACCTATAAATTATAGTTGCGACAAAAAAATGGTTAAATAAACAATTGGGTATTATTATTGGGAATCTCCTCCTGATAAACAGAGTTTTCTGGTAGCAAAATATTGATTTTTAAGATTCTATACCATGTCTACGATTTTTTTTTTGCTCATATAAAATACGTGGAAAATTTTGGGCACTTTAAGCGACCGCTAAGTATTTTTTGATTTCAAAAAAAAAAAA